AATAAAGCAATAAGCCCCAAGAAGCCGTGGTTTACAGTGAATTTATAACAGCTAAGGGGCGTTGTTAGGCACGACGCAAAGCTGTTATAAATTCACTGTAAACCACGGCTTCACGGGGCTTATTGCTTTTATAAAACGGTTATTCCATATACGTAGTTAGGTTTCACAAAATAAAACAGAGCAATTAAAGTGTAATGATATTAATAAAAACAGTATTCTTCCACTAAACAATGTAGTTCCTCAGAAAGTTGTGGTTGCAACAAAGTGGTTGCCAAGCAACACACAAAGTAAACAAAGATGTATGTTTGTAGAGTAAAGCCCCATTCACACCAAGAACGATAACTATAAAGATAACGATATTAGCGTCCACACCAGCGAACGATATCGTCTGTTTATTCTAAGCTCACGTGTGTCTGCCGCTTTAAATTCTCGAGCTCGTTATAGCAGGATAGATTCTGACTGGCTGTCAATGTTTGTATCATTCATCAGCTGGAAAAAATTGTTCTGGAAGTGATTCCAACGATATTGTTTCTCTGTGCCTTTATCGTTATAGTTGTGGTGTGGACTGCTATTCTTTAATATTGAGAACGATTTTTAGAACTATATCTTTATCTTTATAGTTATCGTGCTTGGTGTGAATGGGCCTTGAACGCGGCTCAACCAATCAGAATCAAGGACCGGAACTATCCGTTTTATAATATTATTTATGTAATATTATAGTGTTTATTAATATTCTGAATTAGCTTTTACATTTTCAGTTTTCATTTTAATTTTACATTAAGTTTTAGTCATATTATGTGCATTTGTCAATTTTATCAGTTTAAATATTTTAGCCGATATTCAGCTTTATTTATTTATTTTTTTATTAATTTTAGTACTTCAACTTAATTGCCAAAGTCACTTTTCTAATTTCGTAAGGTTTTTCATATATCAACTTTATTTAGATTTTTAATAGTTTTAGTTAACAATAACAGCTCTGGTGAGGAACAGAGTGAAATTATAATCATTATTTGTTGGAAATCTTTCCTTTTTGTCAGCTCCCAAATCTTTGTTCATGTTAGTGTTCAAAAATGACCAGATTTGATATCAGTGGTTCTCAAATTATGGTTAATATTATTGACTTAAATTTCAGTATTTTTGTCTGAATTTCTTCTAAGCTGTGGTATTAATTCAGGAGACTCTAAATATGGCACATATGGACATATGGTACATACTTTTGACACGTTCATGTTGTTTTTCATAAACTGCTAGAAAACAAATGTGTGAAAATATAAAAAAAATATATAAAAACACTAACAGCTAACAGAAAATCATTAATTATGAGCAGGCCGAATCAAGCCAAAGATGACTTTGGTGAGGAAAAAATTTGGTATGTTCAGTATTACGTTAATGGGTGTGTTGATATCCAGCCGAAGAGCAATCAACCATAACTTCAGGGAATACGTGGAAAGTGTAGCGTCTGGACCAATCAAACACACAATATATATTTTGTGACTTGAGATACGCTGTTGTGTCCCTATTTGCTGGCTTGTTTAAGTAGGGGCTTGAATTGGTACCGCTATTATGATTCGAAGAGTCTTTATGTATTTCATGCTTAATGGTATCAGTGTAAGGTTAATCTGATTTTAGCGAAGAAACCCTAATTTC